TGGACTGGAGCATGTTTACCTCTCAGGTATGTTACTAAAAACACTGTTTAACTTTAAGTGTCTGTGTGGTATTTGTCCACTTACTTTGATACCAATACAGATGCAGCATTTCTTGCACTGTCGCTCACAACTAGATAAGACTGTGGAAGAAAAAAAATAGTGCGATTATTCATACTGTTTAAAAATACACAAACACATACTGTATTATGCAAATTTGAAAAAATTGACAAAAATCTTAAATGACAAGATTAAATCTAGTGCCAATATCACACTGCTGGATTTTCTTGTTAAGGAATCTCTGGTGGATCAGTTTGTACAGGAAGGCATATATATCATCAAAAATCAAGCCGCAACACTACATAGCGACTCCCAAAGTGTGGGCCGGGACCCCTGGCGGGATGCAAAGGCACTGTAGTAATAGAAATTCACCTTAAAATTACTCTCAGATATGTACAGTTAAATATTTCTATAAAATTAGTTTATGTATATAAAAAACTGGTAATATGAGATGGTTTACTCCTTATTCTGACCTAATTTCACTACTCTTGTACTGAAGTTTGTGTCTCAGTGGAAGGTGGGTCACACATTGGCCTTAGCACTTTACATATGACTGAGTAGCATTAGCTATCTATAACCAACAGCCTTTGTTATGTTTTTTAAATAAGTTTTTCAAGGAAACACATCACTTTCTTTCTTATTTTGATTTGAGTTAAAAATTTAAGACTAAGTGGGCCCCATGCGATTTTCTTTTTTAAGTAGGCCACAGCACTCTTGACTTTGGCAATGGCTATGCCAAAACATAAAAACATCATATCACTTTGGTATAACTAACCTTGGCAATAGCTAGAATGCGATCCATGATAGGCTCTCTAGCCTTACCACCATCTGACTCGAGGTGGCCATCCAGACGAGAAAGATCGAAGGGTATGAGGCAGGTCATAGACAGCCATAACAACAACATGTACCGAGTTTCCCAAGTCTGGAACAAGTAAATAAATAAAGATCAAAACAATATACACTATTGCCTATAGGTATATGTAACTGATGCATCAGTGTGAAGCTATTATTTTTCCCTTTAAACTAAAGCCTCACCTCAGAGTCACTGGGATCCTGTCTGGACATCAGGTCCAGAACTGGCTGGACATCGGCCACCTCATGAGGAAAAAGCTGCATGAAAATTTTATAGCCTCTGACCTAACCAGAAATAAACAAACAACGTGCAGGATTAGTGAATCTGCTGCATAAGACATGCGTGAGTGCAATCACATTGCGGCTTTTATTCAGTGCAGTCAGGAGGTTTTTAATGAGAAAACTGACCTTGCAGATTACGTAGAGGAACTTGAAACACAAATGAACCAACGAAGGTGGAGACTTTTCACTCCTTATAAAGTCCAGTATCATATTTAACATCCATTCTAAAATAAAAAAGGAACAAAATAAGGAAGGAAGTGTTTTTATAAACTGCAAGCTCCTTTGACTTTTTATAAACTGAGTGATTTTATTTGTAAATTAGCTGTTGTAGTGTACCTAGATGAGGGTCCAGCAGATGAGGCTGCTCTTGATATCTGTTCATTATTACTGCAGGGAGAAATTAGCAGACCATCACGTCTCCAAACTAATCACTTAAAATTGCTTATCTTGGGGAAGCTGATTTATTTGTGACCGTCTCACCTAGGAACCTCTCTGTAGTAGACTCCCTTGGCCCCAGGTCTCCGTGGACCTCCGGCAGGCTGGAGATGAGGGCTGTGGTCTCGCCTCTCTCACTGAAGCTGCCCAGCACACAAGTCTGCACAATAGCGTCCGCCTCTCCTCCTCCTTCACCACCGGAAAACCCATTCTCCGTCTCCGATAGAGGCATTTTCGCAGACCTTTAGCACGAGTATCTGTTGCAAGTTATGACAGGTTTAGCTAGCTAATATTAGCATTTGTGAGAACAAATAAAAGCGGAAAGGTGGAAATTATTCCAGGAAACTGGTGAATTGAATTAAAACATATACTGATAAGATGCGTAGGAGGTTCAGAGAGTATAAGCGCGAAATATGGCAGCTCTCAAAATTACATAAACTTCACTGGACACAACTATTGTTGATGTCTATAACGATGCAGCTAGCTGTTGTAGTCGTACCCCGCCCCGGTACGGCAAGCGAGATGGCTCACGTGGTTAACAGGGGCGGAAATTAAAGTCCCAGGTCACGTGTTCTCTAGACCGTATTAATGCAGGATATGTTTACTAACCTTTTACTAAACAGTTATTTGGGCTGCTGTGAAGTTGACCTAATGATGAAACATTTCTATCCAAATGGGATTGTTTTTCTTTTCCATGCCTCCATTCACAGGGAATTAAGGTGTGTAAATCTAGTGTGTAAAGGTTTTCACACTAGATAAATAACAAATTCAGCAGGTCTGGAAAAACACAATGGATTCGCTTAGGATTTAATAATGGTTATACCATGCACAACAAGGGCTTGCAATGACTCACTGTTATACAGGGATATTTTGTAGGTGTAGTTAGTATGCCAACCTTTATTCCATTCGTAGCCATTCTACTATAATGTAGATAAAATATAAAACATTGCATCCATAGTGAAAGTCAGATTCTGGTTTGTTCTACCTGCTTATAAAGGATTCCTCAATATTAACATAAATAAATAAAAAACAATAATTTTTAAGTTCAGTCATTGGTGTGTAGTACAGACTTCTGATTTGCAAGTTTTGTTTAATTTATGTCTATAAACAAACTACACTTAATTCACTGTAACACCTTGTGCAAAATACAGAATTTATTTGCAGATTCTGTTTTATATATTAGGAAGCAGGAAAGTGTCAGATGAGCTGGCAGGATGCAACTGTTTTTTCTATGTTAGGTCAGTATTTTCTGCACAGTACAGAAGACATTAAAGTGTTAGATGTGTTGTTTAATGTCTTCACACACTGTTTTTGGTCAAATAAGCAAAATCGCATAATACTTCAATGTAAGACTGCAATGCTTTCTAAGAGTGCCTGTGAGTGTGTTTATTTCAGCAGGGTCTTCATAACTCTTATGGAAGAACCTTTGTAACCACCACCAAAGTGGTTCCAGTGATTCAGGTAGTGGAAGAGTTGGTAAAGCTGGTTCCTCTTTGCAAATCCTGGTGCTTGGGGAATCTTGCTGTGGTATGCAGAGTAAAAAGCACTGTTGAAGCCACCAAACATCCCAGCAATACCCAACTCAAACTCAGAGTGGCCGTAGAAGGAAGCAGGATCGAAGATGACTGGGCCGTCTGCACATTCTGCCACGTTTCCTCCCCATAAATCTCCATGTAGGAGAGCAGGGACTATCTCCACATCTTTGAAGAACTGAGGGATCTTCAGCTGGAAATAAGAGACACAACATGCACATTACAATGCTGATACAATCATAATGTCTTGTGCAAAATATGTTTAATTTCAAACAGGATCAAAGGGAGGTTGCACCTGTAACTCAGCCCATAGTTCTCTGGTCTCCCTGTCTCCATACGATTTCTCCACCATGTTAAGCTGGTGCTGTAGCCTCTGCTGGGTGTAGAATGGAACCCAATCACTCTGCCATTGATTGTCCTGGAGAGGTAAGAATGAGAAAAAACTGTGATGCTGCTGAAATTCACTTTAACATCTTGAAGATTTGGAGACCAAACATTTGTAACACAACTTAGAGACATCAATACTGTACACCCTCCACTAGAATGCAGACACAGTATATAGACACATATACATTGGCTTTACCTGTGGCAGATATCCACAGCATGTAGTTACATGGAAGCCAAATTTTTCAACAGCAGCCACATCTGACTGCCCCGCTCCTTTTCCTGCATATATAGCCGTAATATTAATAAACAGTAATCACAAACTTTTTACCTTAAATTTGACACAGTTCATTATTATTCATTGGTGTGTGTGTGTGTGTGTGTGTGTGTGTATTATCCACATTGTGGCATCCTAAGATGAAGTTAAACTGAATTACCCACTGTCTGTTGCTCTTTATTTAATTTTTCCAGTTGTTTCTTGTTGTGAAGATGCAGATCTGCCATCTTCTCTCCTAGCTGTTTTGAGTACCTGCTCATTGTGTTTAAAAATCAAGTATGTCATTGAAAAAATATTTTGCTCAGTGTTTCTAAAACTAAATTCATCTGCCCAAATTCTGCTTTAATCTGCACTAAAGAAAAAAATGTAGTCAAGAGCTCTCTTACTTGCTAAGACTGTTCATGTCCAGATGTTCCATCACAAATACAGAGCCTCCTGTGTCAAGCTCAATCACCTTTATGGGCTTGGGGACTTTCACGGTTTCTGTCTTTACAATAGCCTCCAGACTGGCCATTTCTCCATCAAACATCAGTTTGGCCTGGATAATTTAAAGACAGGACAACACGGTCTGGTAAACACAAGCTTCAGTAAATGTGAATTTTTGCATTGTTCTCCACTCCACAACATCTACACAAAGTCCACGGACAGTAGTGTGGTGCAGCTGCTGGATCATGTCCCATTCATTTAAGTCCCGAGTTGAGCACACGCCGAAAGCCGATCATGAACTGAATGACACAACAGATAAAGAAAATGAAAAACTAACAATAACAAATACCTCACTCTTGTGATTTATCTTTACAAACACTTTCCCAGTGTCAGTATGATAACTCTGTCCCTCGCTGATGCATCCACCTCCAGCATGACCAGCTGATTTCAGCATGGTTGTCCCCAACTCCCTCTTTAACTTAGCTTCCATGATTATTTATCATCAGTTCCAGGACAGTTACAGCAGGACTAAAACCACCTACGCATCGCAAATGCGGGTATGAAAGTCTTTCTGACAGTTTCCGTTGCGGCAGCCAACCAGGACTTTGTCCCGAAGCAGGATCTTGTTTTTCTTCCGTTATGTAAATAATGATTGAGTAGTAGCCAATCATAAACAAGTCTGGGTTGATTGATTTCTACTTTGTCCAATAGTTGCGACGTTTGTCCGGTCACGTGAACGTCGCCATGGTGCCAAGTGAGGCTACAGCTATACGCTACGAGTTTAACTATGGTTCTGCGGAAAAACCGGCATGACCAGCAAAGAAATGTGTTTACTCCTCGGAGCGACCGGTGTTGGAAAGACGTTGTTGCTCAAACGTCTACAAAATATCCTTTGTGGCCTTGTGAATTTCTTTGACGTAAAAGGAAATACTACCAAATAGCTTAATTAGCTAACTAATTTAGCCTATGAGCTTGTGTAGTACTTAAGTTGCTAAGTAATGGACGACCAGGGTTTGTATATCGCCTTTCCCAATTGCCAAATGTCGATACCCAGTGTTATTTTATTTTGCATCGGTATGTGTACAAATTCATTTTCATAATAAGATCTGTAAGAGAGATTATTATTACAATATTTAAGCTTTGGTAGCCCTTATTAGTCCAATAGTTTGGAAATTCACATTACAGCAGAAATTAGTGCTGTACTGTAATGTGAAATTGTCAATGGTCAGAAAGTGGATAATAACAGTAATAATTATAATTATATAAAACAATAGGAAACATGTACAAGATAGACGAAGTATAATTTAAATGTGTGTACATATGTCGCAGTGATAAAATAAAATAACATCTTTAGATGCCTAGAAGCAAAAAAACAGAGCCCCAGATGATGCTAATAGAAGATGGAGTGTTGAAAACAGTTGCACACTGTGATTTATCAGTCCCCAATGTGTGCATGTGTAAGTATACATGTGTTTTACTGCTGCGGCTCTGCTGGATGAAAAGACCTCCAATATTGCTCCTTTACACACCGTGGGTCCAGCAGCCTGACGCTGAAGAAGCTGCTCAGTGCTGTAAGAGTGTCCTGCATGGGGTGGGATGTGTTTAGCTACCATGCTACCTGTCACTTACTACCTCCAAGATGTCAAGAGGGCATCACGTTGGCACTCTTGGTCTACCTGTTTCAATTCTTTTTGACCCCAGTAGAGATACTGCTGCCCCAACAGACCAGCACCATTACAGATAGCTGTTGGAACCACAGTCTTCAGGAGCTTCTCCTGCACTTCAAAAGTCCTTGGCATACTTACCAGATACAGCCTGCTCTGTCCTTTTTGGTAAATAGCATTTTTTTTTTATATAGTCCACATTCTCCATTTCGTAAGTGGAGAAGGATATTTGTGCCTGTGGACGTTCACCACCAGCCCTTTGGTTTTTCCAGTATTTATCTGGAGGCAGTTCTCGTTCACATAGCTATTTCAGAGATTGAAAGGGAAGTGATCTGCAACAGCACAAGTTAAACACTATCCTCCAGTTGCCTAGATTACATGCATGGGGCCCATCGCATATAAACTTAGCCCAAATTGGTGGATTATTAATAAACTGTCATCTGAACAGATGACGTGATTTCATTTGTGAGGTGACAAGTCAACAGTAGTCTCTCAGCTGTGACATCACCAACCTTACTCATAACAAATATTCAAGTTCTACTTTCATAGCTCATAAAATATTGCGTAAACATTTCAAAATGTTTTTCTTTAAAGCTGATAGCAATGCTGTCTCCAGTCGATTTTCCTATCAGATTTCATTTACAGTTTATCGTACATGGTTTAGATGAATTGGGGACACCACCTTCAACTCTTCCCACAGTAAGTACTAATGGACAGTTCAAAGTCTCTGACACCTTATCCGTGTAAGTTCTCCATCTCCAGTCTTCATTCTTTGTAGGTAGGAACCAATCTGACAGATCTAACCGTGAAGAAGAAGAAGGTGACTGTGAGAGAGCTGGGAGGCTGCATGGGCCCTATATGGCCCAGTTACTTCAAAGACTGCTCCTCTGTCATTGTATGATCTTTGTATACATGCTGTTTATATTTGTAATATTCAATATGGGTTTACTAAATTGAAGTACTTGAGTAGATTTCTTTTGTTTCTCCATAGTTCATGGTGGATTCGGCCAACATTGCTCAGATATCCTCCTCCTGTATCCAGTTGCTGTCAGTACTGTCAGCTGAGCCTCTGAGCAAGGCCTCTGTGCTTATTCTCTTCAACAAGAGGTGACACTCGTAGAATACACATCAGTCTCTATTAGTGTTTTACCATATTGTACAGGATCTCTAGCAGGTTTAATGCAATTTGTATGTAATAAGGAAAGCTAATAATACCACTAGGAAATTTTTGATTTTCTTTTCCAATTTTATATTTTCCCCCAGGGACATGCCTTGCACTATGAGCCTTATAGAGATAAAGTCACTGTTCAGGATGGATGACATTGTTGCATCTGCGACTCAGCCAATCACAACACTGGAAGTCAGTGCCAGATCTGGAGAGGGACTTAAAGAGGTGATGAGCTGGCTGGAGTCCGTCACAGTCAAGTGACATACGCTTACTGATTACTTCATTAGGTACACAATTACTCTTTCATGCAAATATCTAATCAGCTAATAACATGGCAGTAACTGAATTAGTTTAAGCATTGAAACATGGTAAAGATGATCTGCTGAACCGAGTTCTCTGGGTTCTCTGGCCTTGTTGTTGTAGATGATCAGAGGAAAAGGAGACCAGAGGGGCTAAGAACAGGAAACAGGCTATAGTTTGCACAGGCTAACCAAAGTTAGACATCAAAGAATTGAAAAATGTTGCCTGGTCCAGTGAGTGTAAGTTTCTCCCAGCAATTTGGATGGTATTGTTACAATTTGGCATAAATAAAATGAAAGTATAGATCCACGCTGCCTTATATCAGAGGATCAGGCTGGTAGTGGTGTAATCGTGTGCCGGATATTTTCTTGGTACCCTGCACCCAGCAGGATAACGCAGTATGTCACAAAGCTCCAGTCATGAACTTGACAATCAGTTCACTGTACTCAAATGGCCACAAGAGTCACCAGATCTCAATCCAGTGGAGCAACTTCAAAGTCTGGTGCAAACTCACACCATGGTTGTGCATATGACAGATCTGCAGCAAATACATAAGACTGTCAAGTCAGTATGGACCAAAATCCAAGGAATGTTTCTAGCACCTTGTTAAATAGAATTAAAACAGCTCTGAAGGAAAAATGGGTCCAACCCTGAACTAGTGAGGTATACTTAATAAAGTGGCCAGTGACTGTGTGTGTGTGCGTGCGTGCCAGTTTCTGTATTTGTATCTTATAATAGTGATACTGTTTATACAAAAAATGTTCTGCCTTTTGGTCTTTATCAGCTTATATGCTACTCTGTTGAGGTTTTCATGGTGTGTTTCTCGTGTAAGAGTGTTTATCTTTGGTAGCACAAAGACATAACTGTACATTAGGCAGAGTGAAGAGGACGAAGTGATAGTATAACAGGATCAAATGATTGTCTCATTTGCAAAGGTCTTACTTTCATGCATTTGTTATTCGACGCAGAGTGGGAATCTGAGGTATTCCTGATTGATACTGTCACTTATAAGAGTTCCTGTTTTCTGTTATGGCTGTTTTCCATGGCTGTAAATCACGTGAACTCTGTCTGAAATTAAAAAAAGCTCTTTCACTTCAGATTTAATATTAAAAAAAAAAAAAGAGTAACAACTCTTATAGAACTTTATGAAGATTTTACAGAATATTTTCTCATGTAAGGCATTCAGTATTTATCTTTGTATATGTTTTTTTCTTAATGAAATTTGGATTTTGTGTATGAACTTTGTTTTCAGTGTATGTGGATGTTATGTTTTAATTGAGAGGAGCAGTTTTTTGTGTTTCTTTTTTGGCTTATTGTCACTTTTTTCTGTTTATTCTGGTAGTGGTGTAATGTAAGAAGAGGTAATATGGACAACATCTCCCACCCCATGCAGCAGACTGTGACAGCACTGAGCAGCTCCTTCAGTGGGAGACTGCGGCACCCACGGTGTGGGACGGAGAGATTTCGCAGGTCTTTCCTCCCCACTGCTGTCAGACTCCATAATAAAGACTTTAACTGATCAAGCACACACATCCATACATATGCAATAACACTAAGTGCAATAATCTTTTCTGGCATCGTTGTATTTTTACTCAGTTGTATATAGCATTCGTATTCTATTTTTATCTTATTGTATATTTTTATTCTATTTTATTCTACTGTATATAGTATATTATTTTATTCTATTCTGTACAGCTGTGTACTGTATTTATTCTTATTGTATTCTAATTTTTGCGTCATAACTTTTGCACTGTCCACTTCCTGCTGTGACAAAACAAATTTCCCACGTGTGGGACTAATAAAGGTTATCTAATATTGCTGACTTCACTACCAGCAGGGGGCGCAAACTGCTTATGAGACAGTGATACTGAGTCGTCATGATTTCATGTAGCATGTATTGATACCAAGGGAAATGAGTAAATGCAAGTGAATAAACCCATGGGAAGAACTGAGCAGTGTTGTAAATACACTCCTATATTTGGTGAAGTCAGTGGTTTGCAAGCAATGAATAAACTCATATTCATACATTTTTTAAGGTTACTTCATATGAATTATTTGCTCACAGTCCTCCCAAACTATTACTTCATTCGCCACTTGAATTTCATAATAGCAGACTGGTATACACTGATTTTTCCCCACCAGCTCTGTTCCAGCCATATACCAGTATGATGCAGTACTTCAAGCAGCGAACAGGTAGATGTGCACATACCGAGAATGTGTAATCAGCAGTGACCACCTAAACCTGTAATGCATCTTCCCTCTACTTACAGCTTAGTTTGTTGACAGCAAAATATTATCAGACCTTTTGTTTCTACGTTGTAGGGTATGACCTTGAAATTGTACTTGACACTTGGTAGTTAGATTTAAAAAAAAAAAAAAAAAAGTGTTATCTCTGTTGTAGTCTGTTCATTAAAAGAGGAGCAGGATATGTTGCTGCAGTGAAGAGCAGATTCAGCTTGCGTCTACCTAAAGGTTATTGTGCATTACAAGAATATAAAAACAACTAAGAATAGGTTTTTCCATACAAGTCCATTGGGCTGTAGTTTGGTGTGCAGTTAGAGCAATATTTCAAGAGGACAATTTAGTGAATTTCCATTTTTCTAAAATATTTTTTCCGGTTTAGTTTGTCCTCATAAGAAGGGGTTTTGACTGCTCTGTGCGGCCTGTGATCCCTGAGCACTTGCTGAAGAGAAAGGCAACAAGGGCTCAGGGAGCCTCACTGGCAAGTCCAGTCCAGGATGGGTGGGGTGAGTATGTGACGACGGGATGCTGGCACCCGGATGACTTGTAGGCAGCGGCAAGGAGGCACTGTATGGAAGAGAAGTGGCGTGGGGAGCCGTCAAGGCGGAGCCGGTGCCCATTTGATTTAGACTTAGTTTCGGCTGATCTGCTTGGAATGGATTGCTGGGTGAAGGAGCATTCAGGCCTATGTGAAAAGAAATAAAGAGAAAAAGTCTACTTTTAACACCTATTCAAAGTTTATTTTTTCTAAAACTGAGCCTTGAACCTGATGAGTCAATGACCTCTTTATGTCTCTCATGACGCTACAGTTTCAAGCACACACTGTTCCCAAAACTCATCTGAGATTTAAAAGGCAGGAACAAAAAAAAAAAACTTTAATTCTCATTCACAAACCAACTGGAGATCACAAAAAACAGATACCAGCAAGGATAAATGGAAAAATGGAAATATCTAGCACTCTGCACGTGGGGGTTTTACTGCAGTCGTTACATGGCAGCGGATTATCACTCGCTTGCATTTACCAGTACATGGCACACACTGGTAAATGATTAACACTGCCAGGTGGTGGTTGTGCTCATCTTATGCACAACCAGCACCTGGCTGATTTGAATACAATGTTTTAACTACTCTGTATGTCCAATAACAAAGTGCAATGACTACACCTGCAGTCAATAATACAAAACATACCTGATAAAAACGGGTTCTTGTTCTTGGCTGATGGGTTTCCTGGGATCAAGCTGTCCAAGTTCACCAAGGAAGCTGCCGAAGGGTCCAGGAAGGACTCGGGTGTCCGGCATGTTCGAGAGCTGGGGTCATTCAGGCTTTCTCGAAGACGAGAAAGGTCAAAAAGCTCAGGGCTGTCCTCTCGCCCACTAGCCCCGTTCACCTGACCACCATCCATAGCGTCATCAAACAGATCAGCATCTGTCAGCAGAAAAGTAGAAAGACAAGTAAGACTGCAAGTGGAACCAACGTACAAAAAGTAGAACAAGAATAGCAGATAGTGTATTGTTTACCTGAGGGACTTAGAGTTCGGGGAGCAGGTTCTGTAGGGGCTGATCTTCCTAAAGGCGCTGTGAACAGATCAGCTCCTGACGAGGATAAAAACATGACAGAAATGCTATTTAACTTTCTGTGGAACATAGGTAGTTTTTAAGATATCCAGGTGACGTCTTTATTTTAGTTACCCTACTTGTAAGTGAAAACACTCACCTGTATTTGCAGGCAAAGACCATACAGGACTGAGGCTGGAGACGTTGTCCTGTGGTGGATCCCAGGGGTTGGCTGGAGGTTCCCACGGTGGGGGAGGGCTATTTGAAGGTGGAGGTACCATCCATGGAGAATCAGCTCTTGGAACGCGGCTGCCTTCTTAATTAACACACAAATAAAAGAGTGTTAGCCGGTGAGCAGTTCAAATTATTTTGTAGGTACAAAAAGCAGAGAGTTTCATGTAAAAAAAAAAAAAAAAAAAAAAAGATTCTTCATCTTCATACGATTCCATCTAAAATAATATACCATGACCAAGCCAACTCAAGGCTCACCGAAAGAGTCCCAATGGTCTGTACCTCCAGCCCCAGCAGCTGCCTGGTGTGAGGCATTATTCCACCGATGGTCACTGGGAGGCAGATCTGTGGGTACTGCGAAAACATCTACCAGGTCCATAAAGGCCGTCTGACCAAATTCATCAAAGAAAAAAACAAAACCAGAAAAAGTTTATATTTCAACATATATTTTGACAGTATTATTGAATGTTTTCATAGTCATATACTACTGCTTATGTTTCAAGCTTTCATACCCCGCCTTTTTTCTCCATTTCACGTTTGCTCTCGTCCAGAGCTTTCTGGAGCAGGGACTCATCTCCTTGGCGGCTGAGCTGCTCCTTTCAACAGATAAAAGACACACGTAAGCCTTTACGGGTCACATATTGTCACATCACACTATATTTCTCATTCAGTGACGGTGCACAGGAAAAATAGATGGCTTGCATTTTTCCTATGCAACATATGTACACAGTTGGCAGAAACCAGAAAATTCCCTGGCCAAAGAGAGGACAGAAAGCAGAGCATCCCTGTGATCTCTAACAGAGCAGTTCTATTGTGTTACTATATAGGAGTGTAGACAGAGAGGGTAAAAAAGGGGGAGGAAAGAGACAAAGAGAGTGAGACAGGAAGCGGGGGTCCAAAGGTTGCCGAGATAATACAACAAAGTGAACGTTATACAACTTTTTCAAACAAGGCAAAGAAAAGGAAGCAGAAAGTGTGGCAATAAGGTACTGTAAAGGTTGTATGGGGGAAAATATAATTTAAAAAAAAAAATACAGAGAGAAAGGATGATTTAGGACAAGTGGCACTGATCATATAATGGCTTATGTTGTAACAGAGGACTGAAATTAAACAGGTAATATTCTCCTGAGCTATTCAGGAAGCAAGTCTGAATTTACATTATAAATAAAGTATTGTGCAAAAGTTTTGACCCACATTTAATTTCCTTATATATATATATATATATCACTGGGATATAAAGAAATAGGCAAAATAGTAATGTATTCATTTATGATTTATTTATTTAAGATGTGGAATAAGATGGCTTGAAATACAGCATATATAGCAGCTTTCTTTCTTCTTTGGATGTTGGCTGTCTTTACTTCTGTTCTCTGTCAAGATGATCTCACACTGTTACAATAATGGTGAGGTGTGGGCTCTGTGGAGGTTAATTCATGACCAATAGTGTTCCACTGTGTGTTTTTCTTTGCTGGATTTTGCACAGCACTGTAATTCAAACTGAAGTGACAAGTGTGGTCACCTGCACCTTCATTTTTTATAAATAACTTGTGAAAAATGTCACGACAGTTCTTACTGTCTATTTCAAAAGTGCTTAGGAAATGGTTCAAGTCCTCTCACCCACTCCCCAGGACACTCTACCTGCTGGTGCTCCTCCTTGCTCAAGCTCAGGGCCAACTGGAGCTGAGTTTCCTCGTCCATATCCAGGGCAGCAGCAGGAGCGCGTTGGACTGGCTGTGAAAGTGTAAACCAAGGAGGGATTTACAGTCAGCTTCCATTTTACCAGAAATAAAGTTGGGCATCCTCACAGTACTTCACAAGCAAATTTAACAGGTTTCCCAATCAATGTGAAGGAGCCAGTCCTTTGCCCTTCCCTGGCACCACACCAGAAGGTCAGCAGCACCAGGTCAGAGCCTGAGATGTGTGTCTCATACAAGTGTACTCAGAGGAAACAACTTATGGTTAGTATAAGAAAAAACAAAGGATGAAACCACAATTGGTTAATTTTTAGAGAAAGTTGCATATTTCTTTGCTGTTCAAAAGTGAGTGAGTGAAGGGCGGATAGTTCAGTTGTAGGAAGGAGAGAAAGTGAGTAGGCATGCAGTTGCTTCTGTGAAGGAAAAACACTGGAATGTGATACTGGGTTAAATGTTTAAACCAAGGGACAAAGAAAAAATGCAAAGGTAGCTGCATCCCTCCCAGTATACATGTACCTGGTGGGCCTCCTCTTTGCTGAGGCTCATAGCGATCTGGAGCTGGGTCTGCTCATCGATATCCACTCGAGGAGGTGGCTAGAGTTACACATGAGGGAATTGGAGGAAGGCAAATCAAAAAAAATGGTAAAAAAGCATGCTTGATTTTGCTGTAATGATAGGCTATGCTGGAAAGAAGAGAAACAGATCAAATGCCTTGGATTTCTTATCAAAAATCACAGCCGATTTGTCTGATTGCTGAAGTGGAAACTGATATGCACTCTAATATATTCCTACAGGAGCTGAAGCAGGAAGTCTCCGAGGGCAAAGCTGCCCTTGGCATGGAGACCGGGGCGGGCTGTGGAAGCTTGAGAGTGGATCAATGCACACATTCTGTCTGGCTTCTCACTCTTTCGCTCCCAGCTTCCTCACTGTGCTCGGTCATTGTTGGCTACATCAGAGGTTGAGCTGATGATATCATTTTCTGACAACAGTTCTGGGAAATACACAGTCAGGAGCAACGCTTCACCACTGGGGCAGCTGTTTAATGTTTTACTACAGCATAAAATGTCAACAACAAAGCGAAGAAGCCTCTTTCTGTCTGGCGCATGTGCCTGTAAGCGTGAAAGGTTTGTGCTCACTGAAAGAGCGAGTGTGTTGTGTGTTTTTGTACCTTTTCACTTTCTTCTCGGCTCATAGCCAGGGCCAGCTGCAGCTGTAGCTCCTCTTCGCCACTGGTTGCTGGCCGTGCTTGTTCCAGGTCTGGAGCTAGTTGAGGAGAGAAAGAGCAGAGGGGAGTGGGTTTTAGGGAGGAATGGGGAGCCATAGGATGAGAGAAACATCAACAGATGGAGGGAGGAAGGGGATGCAAAGCCAAGAAAGAAACACTTTAGGGTGATTTTTAAGGTCAGAAACGAGCTGGCACTGTTTTTGCATGTTAATTTTCCATTGCCTGTTGTTAAGTGCCTTTGATCACATTGCTTGCCACAGTCTGCCTGCACTGAGAACAATGGTGTGGCTGTGTGGAGAGTTCGGCTGGTGGTGGGGGAGAGGAATGGATGGATTGGAGTGGGGCCCACCTTATTACCCCGAATCCTCTGGGCCAGTTGGAGGATTCAGGTCCAGATTTGAGAGAGGGAATAGGGAAGGGGGTCGGGGGGAGCTGGCAGCTTACCAGTCTGGGTGCCAGGCTGTGGGTCACAGGGCTAAAAGAGGGAAGCAGGCCACACGCTGGAAAAGTCAGGTCTCGGAAACCAATCTTTTCCACCGCACTGCCCCTCAATATCCCCCGTCTGAGCTGGAATACTTTCTAGCAATTAGCTGCTGACAACCTGGTGACCCCCTCCCACGGTACTAATCATTATCATTATCATGGAATCTTCTGGAAATCACCAAAATATCCCCCCTTTTTATAATTAAAATCAGCTAGAGAGAAACAACAACAGAGGACTGGTGGGGCTTTCTAAATCATCTGGGGTTTCTTTATCCAATTCCTTGCTATGATTTCTGGAATGGATAGGAAAGCCTCCTTCAAATAAACCATGCTATTTTTATAGTATCTCTGAACCACAGAACCAGAGCTAGAAATTGGACACTGGCCATGTGCTTCCGCTGGCACTCATTCTTGCTCAGAAAAGTATGCTAGTAATTTGTATTAGGTGGAAAATCTGTTGAACAAAAAAAAGAAAGAAAGAAAATACAGTCATATACCGTCTTGCGGGTATACAGTATTTACTTTTCCCTCATGAAGCAAGCCACAGACATAAAAAGATAAACATCTGCCCTTGAGACACCACAAGGGCAAAAGTTACTAACGGCCTTTTTAAACAACATTCCCCACAAAGACCACACATTTGCCAAAGTATAGTACAGACCAGTAGCACCACATTTATAAATGATGCATTTAGCTTTCCAGTTAGAGTTGTCACTTGTAGCTGATGAAGTCAGTGATACCATCTCTCCTCAGTCGCACACTGAAAATTTCAGTCTTATATCATCAACCCATCTAATGACCTAAACACTTAAGTGGCAGATGACAGAGCATCACCTCAAGCAAACATGCTGTAAACCTGTGTTGGAGTGAAACAAGCACACATTGGGCCTCTTCTCTATCATAAATCCAGTTTAGCTGCCAGACAATCAAAGGAATGCAGATGCCCAACAGTGTGAAGAGAGCAAAACTGAAACGAAATCGCAGTCAGTTTATGCATGTCAAGGCTCGGAAAGGTGGAGCGTGAGTATTAAAACTAATAGTGTTTTCGAAACTACCTTGAAAACAGGTTTTGATTTACTTCATCACATAAGAGTTCAGGGAACTTATCAGATGAACTCATGACCATTTTAACTTGTGACTTGCCATGTGAGTGATTCAGAAAAATGACAGCTCCCGTGCAAAAGGAAATATTCAAGTACTCAACACTGTGTGCTTTGAGTAATGTAATATATAGTCTGTAGTTACACAACAGCCCCTGCTACTCACAGTGGAAGGAGGAAGGAGAGCTTCTGCACCTGACGCCCTCATCACTCGGGTATCCTGGGTAAGGAGGAGGTAAGGGACTCGAACCTAAGCTACTTGTGACCCCTGTCATGCGTGTTTTGGTCTTCAGTGCCTGGGTTCGCTCCTTCTTTAGCTTTTCTTCATCCCTCAACAGAGCCACCAACTGTTTAGCCTTTTCCCTCACATTGAGGCCCTGGTCACGTCCATCTCGATCTAAGTACTGGAAGTCTCTCAGTGTCTGAATGCTGTATATGTTGTCCCGGCAATCCCTGGCTACGCGCTCAGACCCTGTTTTGATTAAATAGTCCAGTAGCGTGAGCGCCTTGTAAACATGCCTCCAGTTTTTGCCGTGATCATTGAGCCTCTTCCAGACCATACCCATAACCTCTGCGAAAGCCACAACATTGAAGGTCAGATCTGCAATTTCAGCCATGAGCGAGCTGGAGGGTCCCCAGGGGTCGTTGGAGGTGGCCTCTCTAACCTTTATCTCGGCCTCGGTGTAGTTGTTGACCATGTTTTTCATTTGGCGGCGGATCGATGATGTCTGCATGATGGCAGCGGTGTTTAACAGGTAGAGGAAGAAAATCTAGCAGCAGCAGGCCAGCCCACTGTGTTGCTTCAAAGGAAAACGGCTTGTTCAGCTTAATGGAAAAATGCGGTTAAAGGGAAGGCCCAAAGGTGACTTCAGCTGTGTCCACAAGTGTGCTCCTTCTGGAAGAATAAAAACATGATTTAAGCATATGCATATGTAAAATAAGAATTTCACATAACTTGTCAGCTTTATAACTCCTTATACATCATCTTCTGTCTGCAATTATCAGCAGCATTAGTGAGCTCGCCTAGCTCTCATGTTTTCCCACCCATTATTAGTGTTTGGAAGGAGAGAAATAACTCCACGCCTCTGAGCAAAGTGAAAAAAAAACAAACAAAAAAAAACACCTGATCTCGGTTTTCCCCGAATTTACTTGAAGACATGGGCGATGGCTTAAGGCATGCAGTGCACTGTTCCTAAGCGGGCAGCCACCAGCTTGACAAATATTTGCTATATCTTATTTCATTCGTCACTTTTGCTGCTAATAAAAGCACAGTTTTGTGTCATACCAAACTCACTGTATCTGGGACTACTGTTTAATCTGCAGGTGTTGGGCATTATGAGAAAAGGGAGGGGCTCCACCTCCCCTGCTGGTCTGACCAGGTTACATCATCATGACAGCGGTGGTGGGCCTCCCATAACTAACGAAACACCCAGTGTCCTGTACATGTAAGCATATGTCTATCTGCCTGAATCACCAAAATGTTTTTCTGCAGCAGTTACAGAAAATTATGCCTTACAGTACATGTCACTTTGTCCTGAACTTTGGATTGCTTTGTCTTACATAGTCAGGGGAATCATAAGCTAACTGATAAGCTTCCTCTCCCCCACATGAAGGAGTACAAAGATGAGTGACAGCCCAATCACATCAGTAGGACTTACAATAAAAAAAAAAAAGTAAAACAGCAAAAATTACGCTTGAAAATCTATTGTGTTACACGAAATATGAGCACACTGCTACTTTTGTCTCTCAAAAGATTTAGCTGTACCTTTGACTGTACCAGGATAAGAGGGAGTGAGTGAGTCTATTTCTGGTTCAAAGAACAGCAGGTTCAGTGATCAATGCAGGCCCGGTTCACTGCTTAGGCCCTTCTTGAAACTACATAGCTGTGCCCAGAAAATAAGAGAAAATGCGTTCTTCCTATAACTTTCTGTCAGTGGAAGTCAGTTTAAAGGAAAAGGTGGTTTTATGAGGGCTAGCAGAGGAGAAATGTTTAACAGAAGTCAGTTAAAGTCTCTCTGGACAGATTTCTGCCTCTGTTAATGTGGCAAAATGAAGACGATAAATTCTTTTTAAGTCAAATTTTGGCACCTCGATTTCGTTAATTATCACAAAGTTCAAAGTACAGCCAGGAAGAGAAGCAGGCCCAAAACATTAACACGCACAAAAACACAACTGATTTTCCATTTCTGACCTTGACTTGACCATTTTCAAATTTGGAGGATTTAAACAATTAAAAAAAAAAAAGAAAGAAAAAAAGTCCTGCTTAAATTAAAAGAACGCGATCTATCTGCACTTATAGGACGCAACCCCCCGCCCCAAATAAAACTGCTCCCAGATCGGGCCTACATACCCGCCCAGGTATTCTTCACTGCGGGCTACAGCCGTGAGAAAAATCACTGACCCGCTGGGGGAAAGCGCGGCTCTTTTCCTGGCATGCTCTTTCTGTCCCAAACTAGGAAGACCGGGGCCATTATTGCGTCAAATGCGATGATCGGGTAGGTGAAGTATGTGACCGTGACTCAGCCTTGTTTCCGAGTTTAAAAGTTAAAACCCCGATAAAACGAAAAGAAACCACGAAAAACATAAAGATCGTCTCCACCGTGTCCACTTTCCCTCTTACCTTCATGTCATAGCGCGTCAGTGGGGTCCCAACTTGGGGAAGCTTTGGGTAGAATAAGAAACGCCTCCGCCTCTCGGCATATCCCGTAGCTGTCGCACAGAGAAGAACTAGTGGAGAAAGATATTTAAAGCCCAAAGCAGTCAGCGAGAAGCGCACGGACCGTGTAAGAATCCCAAACTATGGCGCGGAGGCGGAAGCTGCTGTTTAGTTTGTTATCAAACTAAGTTGTGTGTGCTTATCACAAATCCAGGCACTGAGCCTGCAGATGGCACAGCCCCCTATAAACACGCGAACACACACAGTAAAAATGGATGGATGGAGAGAAGGGGAGGGAGGGAGGCCTGCTCGGTGCATGCAGAGTCAGACTTAACTCTTTCACTGCCTGATGGAAAATCATCTGTCGTAACTGAAGCAGGTGATCACAGCACATGCTGAGGAATCTCTCTTTTTCTCTGCCACAAACATTCACAAGCTTAAAACAACTAGAACTGTGTGTAATTTGCGAGTGGTGCAAACACACAGCTAGACCGATGTACAATTTTGTACTGTGAGATAAGAACAAATAATCTAAGCCAGGCACGGATCTTTTCACAGAAAGTCAGCGCTGCAACACTTTTTGAGTGAACATGCTCTCCCATGGGGGAGTGTACAAAGAACTACACTTCCTTCCCACCAGCTTCTTCCATGCATTTCTGCTCTTTACTTATTTATTACCACTAATGGGTTCTTGTCTGAACTCCCATCCTTGTGCATTAAGACCTCAATCTGCTCTGTATTCACTCTGGCTTGGACTCAGACAAATGCACAGTGTAATCTGAGGGTGTCTGTATGAACATACAGTGAGTGCAAAATGATTATCTAACTAAAGGGAGAAGCTGCTGGCGAGAGAGCAGCGGGTCTTGTGGTTAACTGAGCAGGATATACAGGAAATACCAGCTCAACCTTGTAACAACAAAAACACTCCTGAAGACAACTGAAGGGCAAAGTGCACAGGAATTAAAATGTCATCAAGCGATATGACGTATGATTTGGGGTTTAAAAATAATATATATCTCTGAAATAAGTGTGTACTGCCCAGCCCTGTGTGTAGGAATGTACTATTGCTTGCTGCAGCCGCCCTGTTCACTTTCACTGATCCAGTCAGTCAAGCTCATTTCATATACCTCTTTCAGCCCTCCTCCTCTCTGTCTTTATTTCTCCTCAAAACAGATGCCTGAACATTCTTTGTTCCCCAACAAAGGCGTGATGAGGTCAGGACAGGGGGGACATGCAGGCGAGGGCTGGGAAAACAGAGGGGGAGGAGAGAGGACGGCCAGTGATGACGTCATGCAAGAAAGGCAATCAGACTTCAAGTGTGTGTGCACATGTGTTACTTCTGGAGACATTAATCTATTAACACAGTCTTATACCTCCTGGGGACACCTCCATTACAGTGAGTGTGTATAATGTAAATTACTACACTGAAAGGAAGACTTAGATTATGGTGGTTATAGCTATAGTAAGTCTCAGGGATATTAACATGACATCCTATTTCATCAAAAAAAAAGCTGGATTTTTTCAACTGTATAGTGTAATAATGCAAAGAATTTAAATATAATTTAACTATAAAGTTTATTAAAACTGTTACAGACATGATTAAAACTAAGAATTTGGCACACAAGCCTAATTCCCAAAAGTTACCAGACTCTGTAAAATGTAAATAAATACAGAATAAACACATATTTTATTCACAGTGGAACATAGAACACATATCAAATGTACAATTATAAGAACAATATTAGCTCCACTTTGAATTTCATGGCAGTCTTTTGGGAGAGGAATGTTGTTCCATTCTTGTCCGACAGCCCTTGGTCTTGTTTCCGTATTTTATGTTACAAAGACGGCAGTGTGTCCCAGTGATGTTCACATATGGCTTCTTCTTTGCATGTCAGAGCTTGTTGCAGATTGGTGAACCTCCGCCCATCTTCAGCTCTGAGAAACTGCCTCTCTAAGATATTCTTTTTATATCCAATCATGTTACTGACCTGCTCCCAGTTAATCTCATTAGTTGAAAAATGTTCCTCGAACTGTTTCTTTTTAATGTCACTTACTTTTCCAGCCTTTTTGTTGCACTGATCACAAGTTTTTGAGAGATGTTGCTGCTATTAAACTCTAAATGAGCTCAAATTTTCACAAAAATGTCAAATGTCTTTATAGTTTAAACATTTATATGTTTTCTATTATATTGTGAATAAAATGTGGGTTTATGAGATTTGCAAATCATTGTATTCTGTTTTTATTGACAGCATATTTAAAAGTATTTGAAAAAAATATATGCTTAATTTAATTCAGTACCAGCAACATATTTTTTTTAAAAGCTGGGTGCTGTGACATCAGAGCTAAAGAAGAGAGCCTTGTTTTCAGTGCACAGTTCTAAGGTTACATCTGTGATCATGTGCGGTGCTGCAAACAGCATGGATAACTTGCTCATTTGTGAAAGGTCCATTAAACAATAATAATAAACAATTTGAAAAGGTTTTGGAGCAACATATGCTGTCTCTCAAAGAACATTGTTTTTTCAGGGAAAGCCTTGCTTATTTGAGCATGACAGCACCAAACTACATTTAGCATGTAGTAAAAGAGTCAGCAATCTAAAGTGGCATCCAGACCAGACCAATCACAAAAGGAACACACCAGGGAGGATAAGACACTCTGACTAAGAACTCTGACAAAGGAGGGCTCAGGCTGTTGTTTAGGTAAACTGCTACATCAAGCAAAGAATGCTAAAAACAACAGCTAAAATAAGAGGCCATGCAAGACAAAGGAGCAGGGTTGAAAATGGGTGTAATGTCCTGTAATGTGTATGAATTGGAATAATAATTTACTTTTAGTTAATTGCTGCTGCAACAAAAGCAGCATGATGTGCATAACCATAATCAATTCCTTTCCACTGGTTAATCAACTAACTTCATCTGTTTGTCTCTGGTGCCCTCTAGGGGCAGTGTTTTTGTCTCCTTCTTATGTCCTGAAAACAAAAAAGAAAATCTGCAAATTTTGCACAATGCGAATCTCAAGTATATGCTCTGATCAAAACCAAAGATGCACTAAAATACGTGGATTCGTGTTTCTGCTCACTTTATTAAGCTCACTGTTATTGTTAATGGAAAATTTTACAATATAATTTCGAAAAACGCAAACTAGCTAATATATTCACGAGCTCTCTCAGACTTTTGCACCCCATTAGTATTTCTAAAAGTATATCAATGTTCCATTATGTACTGCTGATAGCACCTATTTAGAAACCAACCATCTACTAGTACATTATCAGCTACTATGGCTGCTTATACATTATTCATCACAACATGGTTTTCAGCTGTAGCACTAAAGTGCACTTATTAGAGTGAGACTGCAATCTCCATGGCGATCAGCTAGTCTTGTATATATAACTGCATGTTTTTCAGGTTCAAGAAAGAAACCATTATGTGGGCTGTCCATTCAAAGTGTCCTTGGATTTTGAGAATAGTTTGATGGAGGGGAAAAAAAGGCTTTGTATCATGTTCTAACTTCTGCACTGAGCTCACAAATGATTTGGTATGCTCCAGTGATTCACCTTCTCCCTAAAACATCAGCATATCTCTCCTCCAGCAATACATATTTGATTTATATGTTAGTGTACCGTGGAAAAATAACATCAGCTTTCTGACTCCGGAGGTTCTGCAGAGGACTCATCGCCAGGTCATCTATGATTCATAAAGCAAAGAGTTGCTCTGTTTCAAGCTTCAACACTCGAAAAAGTCGTGAGGAATTCAGAAAATAAAGGGACTTCCAGAGTATGCGATCACAGTTCAGGAATAATAAAATCCGTCATGCACAGATTTATGTCGGGCGGTGCAGGGATGTGTTGTTAAGTGGGATTTGTTATGAAAACACTGTGGAACTGTTAAATAACAGATATAAATATATATACGGCAAATGGCTAATGCCTCCGTGACAGCGTTTCAGGAAAAGAGGATAAACAAAATTAATTTGCGCTCGCACGTCACACCTCAATTGTCCATGATATTGGCAATTATCTGTACTCTGTCTACCAAACATTTACCCAGAATTAGACAGGAAGCACCTGCAGGTCAAATGCTAAAAATAGAAACGTGCCAGAACAGATCAGTGTTTCGTGCCCCCCCCCAACAAAGTAAGATCGTAATTTAAAACAATCCGGATAACTTTCAGAAAGCTGCAATGCACCAACTGAAAAAAGTCTACTGTATATTTCTAGACCAATCTAGCACTTTTGTCTTCCTCCAAAGGAATATTTTTCACAAGCGGGGGCCGTGGGGGGCTCCGTGCTTCTATAAAAGGAATGCATTTTGAATGAGCCTGCTGACGCAGAAACTGTGGGTGTATAAGAGATGACACTCGGCTCTGTTTCGCTGGACACATGGGAAAGCAACTGGGTTGGTGAGGTTGTGATTGCCTCTCGGTGACTGGAGACTCTTGAAAGAGCACAAGAGATGAACACAACTGAGAAGTTTTATCTTCCCGTTGATGGCATTCTCGAAATGTTGAACTCTCTCACCGGGCATCTACAATCAAGCATTACGCACCCAGATCTTCAGAGCACCTCACTCGGTCCAGTGCTCCAGCACCCCAAAGTCTCAAACGTAGCGACAGGCATGGGGCTCGTCAAAAAGGTTAAGGGGTGCTGGAGACAGCAGGATACGAGGATAGTTGTGAGTAGATCCTCAAGTTCTGGCAATCGGCAAGTGTCGGCTGATCGACTCCCGAAGAGGTCCGTGGACCTGCTGGAGTTGCGTTTGACCAAGCCCAGAAATTGTCATAGAATAGTTGTGCTTGGTGCGCCCAGAGTGGGTAAAACAAACATTCTCCGGCGGTTCATGGGGAAAGACTTTGAGGAGAGCTATGAGCCCACAATCGAAGACTTCCACAGAAAGCTGTTCCACATAGGAGGAGAGGCATACCAGGTCGATCTTCTGGATGCGGCAAGTGAGAGGGACTTCCCTGCCAAACGCAGACTATCCATCCTGACAGGTTAGGAATCAGTGCTGTATTAAATCTGTTTTTAAGGGATGTTGTTTTTTTATATTTTGAAAATGAATGCTAACTACCTTAATTTACATCTGATGTTCTTTGTCTCTCCAGGTGACATTTTTCTGCTCGTCTTCAGTTTGGATGACAGAGAATCTCTGAGTGAAGCCTGTGAGCTGCTCAGCGAAATCAAAGCTGCTAAGGCAAAGTTGCTGAAATTAAAACAGCCAGTGAGAGTGCCAGTCATTGTATGCGGTAATAAAGGGGACTTAGACTCAGAGAGAGTCGTG